CTGTCTCTCTCTCTCTCTCTCTCTCTTTCTCTCTGTCTCTGTCTCTCTTCTTTTTCTCTCTCTCACTCATTACTCTTCTCCTTCTGCCTGTCTGTCTCTCTCTCTCTCTCTCTCTCTCTCTCTCTGTGTCAAAACAAAACACAAGTTGGGTCTCTTCGTTTAGCACCCCTTGTCCTCCTTCAGCTTGTTCTCCTCTAGCACCGCCGCCGACGTCGCTCGTTCTCCTCCTTCTGTGTCGTTGCCAACGTTGCATCTCCAAGCCCGTCCGCCCTTTTCCTTCTGTGTCACATGTTCTCTTCCATTAGCTCTTCTTATTATTCGATTTCTTTAATTGTTTATTTTCAGGTATGGGTCCTCTATGGGTCCTCTCTGTATCTCTCTTACTCAATTTCTCTATTTTTTTTAATCTTTGTTTTCCTTAATTTTCAGAATTAATGTTTTTCCTAATTTTTGAAACTAATGAGACACGCAGTGTACACATGATTTAGAATTACCTATTAGAAAGTTCGTTAATTTGTCTCGTCTAGTTTCTCCCACTACTAGAAAAATGACTTTTTACTACAATATAATTTGCGACCGCCATATTAGCAGTCGCAAATAGTCAATTTATTCCTTATTTTCCTTTATTTATTTTCTCCTCTTCCTTACATTTGCCCTAGTCCTTCACAAACACTGATCGTTCTCTCTCTCTCTCTCGGTCTCACAGACTGGTATGAATCTCTCAATCTCTTCTCTCTCTCTCTCTCCTTGATGTTCTCAGATCAGCACCTCTGCTATGCTAATATCCTTCATCCTTCTCAGGTAAACACACATGTATATGTAACTCTATATACTATGTATATGTGAATATCAATCTTTGAAATTGAAATTATTCTGTTGAGATCTGAGCAAGAATCGAAGTAGTCGTCCTCAACTTCCTTAAGATCTTGAACTCTTCGACTCCGGCAATCTCATGTCACTTTGGCTTGCAATTTTACTTCAAATCTCTAATCTCGAAATGTGTGTTAAGCATTGAGTCACTGTTGATTTTAAGTAGATGAATTTGGGGATTTTTCAGTGTATTACAAATCGATAGAAGATGGAGTAATAGTAGAGCGAGTTGAGGTTTGATGAAGATTAGAGATCGAGAAGTTGGATACTCAGTGGTTCACTACGAAGAAGTCGTCTCCTGATTCGAAGCAAAAGTGAGGTTCGTTTTGCTGAAAAAATTGTTCCAGTATTTCAATTCTATTTCAATTCTCAATTTAATTTTTCAATTTCTTCTTTATCTTGTTGTTTTGATTGATTGATCCATGATTTTTCCAATTTTCTTGCTGATATATCTGTACAAGTATATGTAGACATATGTTTTTTTTTTCATTGAATAAAGGGCCATCTATGGCAGCTTGACAGTACAGTTAGCTTACATGTTTAACAAGCCTGTTGATTTCTGTTTGTCCAGTTTGACACAATGATCAGTAATAGTTCCAAACCATAGGTGAAATCAGTAATTTACATCTTTTGATGGTACAGTAGCTCGTGTAGTCTTAGTGTTGGGGGATTATTTGAAGGATGAACCATGGTTAAAGCTCCTCTGCAACTACCTGAAGTATGAACTATTTTATTTGTAATTTTTATTTTCATGTTGCCACAAATCACGACATGTTTTATTTAAAATATTATAGGTCAAATCAATTTATATGTTTGAATATTGAATTTGATTGATGAATTCAGTAGTTATTCATGACCTGCTGAATGATTTGAATGTGCGAAAGCTTAGGGTAAAAACTGCAAGTCAAATCTTTGCCTTAATGAAGAGGATTTAAACTACTTTTTTAGATGCAGTCAAATTATTATGCAACTGTGTGGAGTTTAAACACAAATAACTGCAGGCTTGAATTCAAAGATAATACAAATAACTTGATATTTTCAAAGACAACTAGAATTGAAAATGGCAAACTGCACTGCAACCAAGTGTTGATAAACTAATTGTACAAGCCTAAATTGAGAATTGAAATTGACGCTGTTTGATGTATTGGTGGTGCGCAACCCTCATTTTATCTTTGCGTTGGCTATTTATAATGGCTGGCTGGCTGCGTGCAAGTTCAAACATCAGCACCTCACATCCTTCTGTTTTCAAGACTGCATGTCCTCCACCTTCTTCATTGTTGCACTCCTTATCTAGTGTGTCTTGCTCTCACACTCTGGTTGCCCCACTTGTCCCAACTTTCCAATGCCTCCATTAATTCAAAGAGAAGCTACACATTCTACACTACTGATTTTTTATGGTTGAGGCTTCACAGATTGCCATGTCCTCCTTTTCTTATGTAATGCAGACTTACTTCCATTGACTTGATGGAATACTTCTCCGTGTGTGACATGTTCTTTTCCTTTGACCAGGTGTTGAACAATACCACAACTATCCCCTGCTTCATGGGATATGAAATAACACTTAGTTGTTGGGATGACTTATACATGCCCTTCTTCCATAAGTTGCCATTTGTATAGACATAGTTACACATGAAGATTCCACATCTATCATAGCAAAACTACTTCTTTTAACATAAAAGGGGAGATAAAAAGTTTATAACAAACTCCTCTCAATTAATCTCAGTTTAATATAAATCTGACCCAAGTTACTTCAACCAACCCTTTCTTACTTGGCTTCCATCACTACGTACCCATTTCCTGTTGGCTAGCCATTTTTAGCCTATGGCTTGGTTGGAGATTAGTCACCCTTAAAGTGATTGTTTGGAAGTTGGACACCCTTGAAGTTTTCAACTCTCACCTATTTCCTAATTTTGTTTTGTTATTTTTGTCGAAGATTTGACTGTATCATCAATTGGTATTTGAAATTAATTTGGTGTGTATCCCATGCGCCATGGTTCTAGCCACTTAAATGAATCTTTACTCACCCTGATCAGAAAGGTCTTTGTTTAGGTGTCTCAAAAAAATTGAAAAGAGCGAACTTTGAAAGTGTTGTTCATTATGTTGAATCCTATGAGCAGAATTGGGAGCAAACAAAGCAAGAAAATTTCTACAATTAACACTAAGTCAACCAAATTCTGGCTGGTGGTATTGGGGCATGTGATTAAAAAACAGAAACTTGCTTCCTAAATTCTGGCTGATGGAATTCCTGCAACTAGAAGGAGACAATCCTTCAGACTATATTTCACATGCAAAATGGCTTCCTAAATAGGCTCAGAACAATAATGTGGTGATGCACTGATTCATTATGGTGTATTATTTTATGTTGGGATAACTCAAACAAACACATCAAATATTCAAAATTAAGCTCTTGACAGGCGCGCAGGCACAAGAGAGACTCAAGGAATGAACAACAAAATGTCTCTGTTGGAATTGTGGTAAACACTGGAATTAGAAATATTGTTGTGAAAAGAGGACTTTATATGGTAAAATTATCCTTCAATCATGAAAGTGTTGGATAAACTTTCATAGCCAACCTTGAGGATAAAGTTGATTTTTAGGGGGTGGAATGATTGGATCCAATATTGTTAGAAAATATTATTAAGCTATATTTTGATCTACTTCTTTATTTAAGCTTTAATTAGAAAATTGTAGGTACATGATTCTTCCTATCACGTGACTCGTCCATGAAAATTGCCATATCACCTCCATATGTTTTGGTCCCAACTCCTAGTGTTAGTCTAATAAGGTGGCACTTGGACCAACCAGATACTACCATAGCGGTGCCTTAGCCTTGAGCTTAGACACTTGGGGGCAATTTCCAGGAGGCGCCCCAGGCATGCTTGACTCTCACTCACTCAGTAAGATTAGTCCTCCACTTGAGTGTGCCCATCTCCATTTTGTGATGCATTAACTCTTCTATTGGATAGGCTAATCACACAAACACAATTTCAAATTTTCGTAATATTAACTCTTCATTGATGTTACACATATATTTATAGGCTAAAGACTCTCTTAATTCTATAAGGATTATTACTCAAATTTAGAGCAACTACTAATATTTTAGACTAACTATGACTTCCAATTATATTTCAATCATAAATCATCCTGATTTTCAAGTCTTCATAAAACTTGTGCCACATATTTTTCATATTGCTGTCTTCATTTTTTCCCACTGTTTTTGTGATCATGAAACAATTTTCATAAAATAGTTACTCGACTCTTGCACAACCTCTCTTATTATCTTGGCATCGTTGAAGAAAATATTGAGTACACTTGTACTTGATGCTGCAATGCAGTGTAGTGCATTCTATTATTATTATTATTATTATTATTATTATTATTATTATCAGCCTGTCATATTCATTGACTCCAACCCTCTGCATTTTAGCTGTTGGAAGGACATATCTTAGATTTGATAGCTATAATGGCCAATTGTTAAAAGCTAAAATGGAAATCCTAGCCAATGTTAAGGACTTCGATTGTGATTGAGCACCAAAAGATTCTTTTGAGAAAAGATATCCCATTAGTGTTTTTCTGCTAGTTGTTTTGTGTATGATATGATATTGCTAACTAATAGAATATGTTGAATGTTAACTGTTGACTTGTAGACTCACTGAAGAAAATCCAACTTGATTTTTGTTTAATTCTTCAAAAAACATAGTTCAAGGTCAACAATAGAGTGTTAGATGGGACTCTTTTCTTTTGTTTTTCTTCCCGTTCTTTCCTTTCTTGTCCCATGGTCTGTCCTATATCATTCCTCTCCCTCCTCTCATATGACACCTATACAGCTCCTCTTGCCGTGAGGGATTAGTTTATTTACAGTGATTTTTTTTCTCAGTACTAATTTAAGTAGTCTATTGTTAATTGTTAGTAATTGCTTTTGTTCCTAACATAAAGTTTGGCTATAGTGATGGATCAATACACATCATTGGTTTAATGATTTCATTAATAACATCGTAATTGTTCTCAGCTTAGCTGCCTTAAAAAATGACAATGTCTCTCCTCAGTCTCATACTCAACTATATAGCATTTTCCCCTAAATTTTCTACCCCATTTTCATTTTCATTGTTTTTTTTTTTTTGAGAGTTTCCATAGTTCAGAACTTAAAGGTGATTTGTTTTTATGTTTGCTCGCATGTGTGTGTTTTGACCTTTTTACCTCGTTTGGGTTAAAAATAAAACATGAACATATTTGGATTTCGATGAAAATGTTAACTCTTGTAAAAACCGTGGGCTGATTAGTTTGTGTCAAACATGTCCTGTGATTCTCTCTGGTTCTTGTTGGTATTCGTACTAGTGATACATGGTATTCCTGCAATCTTTTGTCATCTTCTGTTATCCGTGTTGGTTATCATCAAGGATCACTTCAACTTTTTAAAGTTTTGGATTGTTATATGCATCTCTACTAAATTGGTTTATAAAATAAAATTATTTAAATATCAGTTTAGATGTAATTGATAATATATTAATATTTGTTTTTCATTATTTTCTTTGCAGATTGGTTTTTGATGACATCTGGAAGCATTCTTGCAAATGAAGATCAAGTGTTGAAATTTTTTTTTTTGAATTGATACTTAGTTTTAGTTGCAAATCAAGATCGAGTGTTAATTTTTTTATTTTATTTTATTTTTTTTTTTTTTGGACTCCATGTTAGTTTATTTTGGAATTTGCTTTGATGGTTTTTTTTTGTTATACTTAATGGATTATTATTTAATTTGTTTGATAGATATATTTTGATTTATAATACAAATTTTTTAGTGATTTTATTTTTTTTTGTGGAGTGGTGTATAATAGCTAATGGATTTCTTACTACATTTAAAAGGCTATTAGGATATGAGCAGGGATATTTGTGAAATAATAATTTAAATTGAAATATAAAATATGGAAAAAGTTAAGTGACGAATTTTTTTTGTCATCTGTACTTATTATTATGACAAAGTGATTATTCGTCGCTAATAAATATTTTTTGTGACAAAATTTATTGCAAGTTATATATGAAAGTTTTCATTGATTTTGAAGTTTGGTGACTAAAAATTTCGTCACATATATATATTTTTGCCACGAAATATATTTCGTCACCCATGTAGGATGTTTGGAGACGAAAAATTTCGTCAACTTTACATCTTACTGTGACGAAATTATTTCCTCATCAATGATTAACATGTGTGACAAATTTATTCGTCAACTAAAGTTATAAATGTGGTACTGAATAACTATTTGGTGACGAAAATGAGGATTTTTAATGACAAAATGTTATTTTATTGGTGACAAAATGTTTTGTCACTAAAGTAATTTCATTGGTGACGAAATTATTTTTCGTCACGATGATTTTTAGTGACAAACATTCAATGACGAACCCGGTGACAAAAATATTTCCTCACAAATATCTATAGTGACGAAATTAGCTCTTTGGAGACAAAAAAAATTCGTCATCCAAGACCCAACTTGTTGTAGTGTGGTATGCAAAAATAATAAGTTACTTTGGAGGGCCATGCAAGGAGTTATTAAGCACATGCAAGGTAGACATTTAGCATGACATAAAAAACTATGAAAATCAAATATGGTAGTTCTAAAACTCACCAAATTGACCCTGGAAAGTGACTTCGAAGCATGCAAGGTAGGATCCCTTTGGAAGGCGAAAAAGGCCACCAAACAAGAGAAGGAGAGAGGGGGGTCACCCCCCTCTAATCTTGGCTCTCAAAATAGTGTTCCAGCCACTGAAAATTTGTTGGATTTCAGTGGCTAGAAGGCCAAACAAAGCATGCAATTGGGGCTTAGGTGTAAGGCTCAAAACAAGGGATAATCAAGCATACAAGGAAGCATGTGGCCTCAAATAAAATAATGCCCTTAATAAAACATGAAGATGATGTCAAAATAAGCCTTTTTCCAGTTTGTAACAAGTCTCAAAAATGAACATAAATAGGGTTAATCTATCATGCAAAAATGGCCCTAAAAGAGAGAATAGAGACAAGGGACAGCAGCTGGCCCCAAATAGTGAAGATTCCTTCAACAAAGTTGAAGAGGGACTCAAAGTAAAGCACTTTGCAGTTTACATTAAGTCTCGAAAATGAACAAAAGTGAGACTAAATCAGCATGCAAGAAAAAGGCCTAAAAGAGGGGTAAAGAGGCAAGTGGTAGCAAATGACCTCACACAGAGGAGAGCCCTTCAACAAAGTTGAAGAGGGGCTCAAAAAAAGACATTTCATAGTTTATGACCAAGTCCAAAACAGCTCACAAATAAGCCTAAAATATCATGCAAAAATAGGCCTAAAAGAGAGTTTAAACACAAAGGGGGAGGAGGAGACCTCAAACAGTAAGAGGTCCTTGATCAAACATGAAAAGGAGCTCAAAATATGACTATTTACAGTTCAGGTCGGAGCCCAAAAGTGTAAGAAACAAAGGCTAAGATTGCATGCAAAATAGAGCAAAAAGAGAGAAATGAGGCTCACCCTTGTAGTCCAAACTTCCAGCAGCTTTTGGTCCGAGAAATGGTGTTCCTAAGCTTTGAAAAACAGCCTCAAGTTGCTGGAATGGAGTATGGAGGTTGTAGGCTATGAGTGGTAGTGTAAAGGGGGCAAGAACCTTAGGGTTTGAAGGGTTTGGAAGAGAGAGATATGGAGAGAGTTGAGAGTTTTAGAGAGAGAGGAAATTTTTTTTCTTTCTTCAAGTTGTATCTCTCTTCCTCCTCTCCTCTTCTTGTAAGAGAGCTTGATTGATATAGAAATATATCAATCTCCAGCTCCTCAGAACTCCCACGTCCAGGCATGGGCTGGGGTATGGCCTGGAATGACAGCTGCCAGCTGTCTACAGAGATATCTGTTGAAAACCACACTTGGCCGGCCGGCCATAAAAGTGGTCGACCGGCAGTCAAATTTGCCAGCCGGCCATCACATTTGGCCGATTGAAAATCAAGGTGGCCGGTGGGCAGGAGACTTGGTCGACAGGCTACCTCCTTCTCTCAGGAACACATCCACAAGCTCTTGGTGCAACCAAGCACAAAACAGAGAAGTTAAGAGATTCTAAGGCAAGGCGCGCAACCAAGACTTTTCGAAACTTAAAACAAACACAAGCATGGATAATCATCGCGTGTTCAAATGATGACGTCCAAGCCTTGAGGACGGTCAAAAATGGGGTGTCTTCAGTTGCCCCTCTTTGACAGAACTTGAAAGTCATAACAATGACGGGAGTGAATTTCAAAGCCCAGAGACAACCCATTTTTGACAAGGCCGAAGACTTAGACGAACATGCAAAACAAGCAAAGATATGCGCCCGAAGGCAGGGGCAAAATGCAACTGACAATGCAAAGAGCCGAACATAACTTATGATGATGCAAAGAAAGCTGTAACGAAGCATAACATGCGACAATTTTAAGCTAGCATACACCAAACTATACTATAATGCAGAAAGGATGTAAGAGAATTATGCAATTCTCGATACGTCTCACTCGGAGAATACAATACCTGTGCAGTTCGTCTGGTTGCACCAGCCTCAAATGAACCGTACATACAATATCGTGCCTGAAAAAGAAAGAAAACTTAACAGGTACAAATATCGTTAGCAATATGCATAACATGCAATCGAAAGTGCGTGACAACGCAAGTTAAGTGGGACGCATAACAATGTTGTGAAGGTACAAACACATGTAAGTAAAGAACACGTGACAACGTGCACAATGTGTATGAAGAGATTTGAACACATGTAAGCAAAACATGCGGTCTACGCAAGCAATGTGTAAAGGAACTTGAAATTGAACACATGTAAGTAAAGCATGCGGTCTACGCAAGCAATGTGTATAGAAACTTAAAATATGGTAAGGACCAGTTATTCATGATCTTGAAATGCCAAGCACTGTAACATGGTATAATTGAAGTGATTTGTGGAATTCACAAGATACGAAAAGGATACGGG